AAAAAAAAAAAAAAATGATATGACATCTAAGTATAATAACATTGTTGACGCCATCATCATTATCAACGTCGTTATCATCATATCATTACATCATAAATTTGTGCCGCGAGGCACAGAAGGTCAGGAAAGAATAATATCGACAAAATGAGCCGCGACAAAGGTAAATAAAGAAAAAAATGGCTTTCTTGTTTAAGAGGTTACTGATAACCAAAGATAAATAATTAATACGTGCTCACAATAGTGATGCACAGATCAAAGCGGCCGGAATGAACACCCGGAATCACGTTTTCGGTATTGATTTTTTGATGAATTTCACGGGAATACAAGCCCGGGGCTTAATTATCGGAATTTTATGGGATGTAAACATGCCGTGGCTTTACAGTAGCGGGAGAACCGATAAAGACGATGACAAAGCCAATCAGCGAGAACGAGACGAAATGATTTTCATCGATCAGCACTATTCAATGAACAAGAAGGCTGACCATTCACGGAGACTGCCTCGCATGACAATTTTCAAATTCTGGCAGCAGTGTTATTTCATGGTTGATTCGCATTGTCTCAGCTTTGTTCTTAATTGACTGGTAAGCGGTTTTTGTATATCACACTGTTTTATCGCCCTCGAAATTGGCATAACTATTCTGACATGATTATACAGTAAACACGAGTTGAACTTTAAAAGAACATTTGAAACAAAAGATTTCTCTTTTGAGGTATTAAATCTATCTTGAAATAACATTCTGCTCTCAAACCATTTGCAACTTAATTGTTTAAAATTCCGGAAATTTAGCTTACAACATTAACAGAAAACGGTTAGGGATTTGGCCGTCTAGGAACCTCACGAAAAATAAAGGCATTTTGTGTGGAAAGGAGGACCTGTGGGCGGTAATGCGCAGACGGATCAAAAATTGGCGTCAGGCATGAGGTTGGCGTAAGTTCGATTCCAGCCTGCTCCGAGTACGTTCCAGTAATTGCCAAACTGTAACGGAATGTTCCATTCGTGGCTTTAGCCTGTCCCGGCCAGCAGGGAACAAATGCCGATTTGCCCACGTAAATAGTAAACTGTAGTAAACAACTACGTTCTTTCATTGTGGTTTCACATAGCGATCCAAGC